CTCCTAGCTGATTTGCAAAAAATACAAGAATTCCAACAGAAGGCACTTTCACCTAATGGTTCCAATCCAAGGTGGGTATAAAACTTTAACTTCCTGTAATAACAGATAGTTAGCAACTTCTTGTGGACATCTAGTGTGTGATCAAGAAGAAGGAGTAGGAGAAGGACTTAAACACAGTTTTTGTTTTTTGATTTTAAACCTGTATTTGTTTATATTTTGGAACATTGTTAAAAGTATGCTACATTACTTATTAATGTTTACAGTGTGTATGGATGCATACACACCTACCAGTAGCCTATACTGATACTGATGAAAGCTTCACACAGAACCTACAAATATTTGTATCTGCGTGTTCAGAGTTGACTGAGAATGAGTATGATCTTAAGCAGGCCAAACAGAACACTGGTATGCACCGGTCCCTTTTATGCAATATCTCTGCCTCATGCTTCTCCCTCTGCACACTCCCTTCAACTCCCCCTACAGAGGTTCACCTCATAGTGTAAAAATCTATGATATATATAGTATGCAGGATGTCTTAGCATAAATGATCATCTGTTCAAAATCTGGTTCCTCATTAGCTCGTGCTAATTGCATTTGCAAAAACAACCAATCAGAGGCAAGAAAGATAAAAAGACGCTTTGGGTTGGCGGTCGGATGATAGGTGATTGTTGAGTCTCATTCCTTGGATCCCAGAGTGTTGGTATTTGACTCCCTGGGAATTAGACTGAACAATCAACCAACTTTCTCTGCTCTGATTGGTTGTTTTCATTCAGGTCCGGTTGTTTCTTGTAAATGTCATTAGGAGCGTTACAAAAGAGCCAGTAGAACCAGATTTGTTCACTGATTATCTGTCTCATTTACCACTGTCAGGATATAGTGAAAGTTTCAGCAAATATGACAAATAGTTATTTTGATAAAAAATGCCCTAATACAGCTTTCCTCTGTTAGAGCCAACCTACTTTCTTTGTTAGTGTATGTCCTCCTTCTAACCAAAACTCAGATTGTATGTCTACACTCTGATAGTAAGTTTTGGTAAGAGGATGGTTCCTTTTCCTGGGAGTCACTTGACAGCTACATGCAGCCTCTCCACCTTTAGAGTCTCTGATGTGTGATCACTAACACGTTGTGTCAGTTGGCAAACTGAAAAAGTTTGGCAACACATCTGATTTCATGCCACCGACAGTCGGGCCTGCTGATAACACTTATAACTGATCTTTTTCTGTTTGTGTATGTGGTAGTTCATCAGGAAGGAGGAGGCAGCGCATGGGTGTTATCAGCAACATTTACATACGTTTCGAAAGTATCCAGCAGAATGGCTCCTGCTATTTACGTTGCATTGTAGCGTAGGATTATGAAGGCAGGGGGAATTTTAACTATTTGATAGAATAAATTGGTAGTTTAATCAGGGGTCACAAAGCCTTCTTGATTTTATGGGGCATAAGAAACATTTTTTATAAAATCATGCAGTAGGCCTATATCTCAGCAGATCATTCATATCTGTCAAGAAAACTAAATTATTTTTTAAGTTTAGACAGGGACAGCCCTGTGTCACAGTGCACAGTGTACTTGCTTGACTCATGAAGATCAATGAGAGCAAAACTGCCCCAGTGGTATCCTACAAACACATGTCATAAGTCAGTCCCTCCCGGCATTCGCAGGCTTTTTGAGGGATTGTGTTGCAGCCTGAAAATGCCTGATTTCCTTCAGCTTTTAGTGTGGGAGAAAGTTCAAATTGCAAAAATGGTTGCGTTAAGAAGGCAAAGTCAGTGAGTGGTATTTTTTTTAAATAATTCATTAAAACTAGACAAGCATCTTGCTCCAGTGAGAATAAAATCACTAGTAGTTTGGTGGCGTAATGTTTTGCGCCGGACATCGCTATGATTACAGAATTGACAGGGATTGGTTGAATTTGCGATAACTGTTGCAAATGTGACATTGCAACTTCCTGGAGGGAGTGACCTTGGAAAAAAAAAGTTCCACATGGTAGCTAACAGGGAACTTGGCCATATAGCTGAAACAGTTCAATAATTAGTTCATGAACAATCACACATTTGTTTGCAGATTCTTAATTGTAACAGTAACAATGTTTTGTTGCCTAATGCAATACATTATTGAAAGCCTTTAGTTTGACAATGTCACCATGAGCTCTAGTGAACTGTTGGACAGATTTCACAATTTAAGATTAATCAAGAGGATTAAAATCATTTCTTTCAGGTCTACTAGGCCCAAACTCTTTCCACTGATGACCTAAAAGCTCTATACTAGTTAGTGGACACTGAGATAAGATTATTTTGAAGAACTGAAGAAGAGAAAAGACAATAAAACAATAAAATAGCATTAGCAAAGCAACTACAAAAATATGTTAAAGAAAACCAAAAACATGTAAGAATATATAAGCAAATCACAGAGGGTGCAATACCTGTCCATACTATACTTTGGATCAGACAGTTCTTGTTTTAGGGAATCCTCCATGACGTCAATTCTCATGAAGCCCATGAAACAACATTTAAAGGGTTTCCCCTTTTATTGCAAAGGTTACATCTTCCACAGAAAGACAGCTTGACAGTCCCTGTAACCACTGGCTGAGAGGTAGTTTTTGGGGGGTTTTCCAGAACACAAAAGGCATATTTGTCATATTTGATTTATTGTCTATACATATATCTGGAAATATCGAGAAATGCCTGTCAGTTTCCCAGAGTCCATTGTTATGTCTTTATAATGTTTGTGTTGTTTGACCAAAAGTCCAAAACCCAAAGATATTAATTAGGCTATTGTAACAGGCTGAGAAATCCAGCCAATATTCACATTTGCGAAGCATCACCGAGTGATTTTTTAAAATATGTTTTTGTTTAAAAATGACTTAATATTATTGATGATTTACCAAAATTGTTGTTTACTAAAATCAATGAGATGGTGTAAGACAGGTGTTGAGTCACATATATGCTATTGACGAAGAAGGTTTGACAATAAATAAGTACATACAACTTAACGTCCACTGACTAGTTTTGTTCAAAGTTTTGAACAACATCTCATGTTCTTCAGCATCCTCAGCAAATAGGAGATTGTAGGACTTTCAGTCTGAAAAAAGACCATGACATGTGGTTGAAGGCACCAAAAAAAGCAAGTAAGTCAATCATGAGTTATGTCTTTTGCTAAGGTTTGAAGCCACTGTTTGTTGGGTTGTATGGGATCAATCCACTATGGAAGCCCATCACTGCCAATGTGACGGGAAAAACTATTCAAAGGCAGTATTTGAGATACTAAGTAAAAAAATATTCTTTTTTTTTCATTACATTGGCAGAAAAAAGCTTCCATAGTCCAGCCCATGTAAAAGAAGGCAAGGAGGATTTTGGCAGCCTGTTAATGGACGCTGTTAACGGACAGACATTCACAGAAACTCCATCATGTATTGTTGTTTGTGTCCCAGGCGAGAGTGGCCCAGCAGTACTGTTTTGCATTGCACTTTATAACATTTAAACGCAGCAGAGTGAAACTCGTCCAGGAAGCCCACCTCAGTGTGTGATGCACTGGGTGTGCTTAGCTCTGTGTGTCTCAGTGCTGCAGAGGACAGTTGACTCTGCCGGGGGGGGGGGGGGGGGATTTGCATTGCAAATGTTAGCTGAGACCTGTTTGAACACTACCTCACACGCCGTCAACAAGACTGCACCGGGTACGCTCCCACCCCCCAAACCCCCTATTACCTTTACACAGACACACACACACACACACACACACAGTATTTAGCAAGAAAGTTCCTGAAACCATTCAAATCTTGATCATTATCTTTTAACAGAAACTGAGTGTTTGTCTGTTTGTGTTAATGATCACATGTTAATGCAAGTGAGAGAGGAAAAAGTGAAGGCAGATGGTAGCTTACACTGTAAAACTACCTACATTAAATACCCATTATGGAAAACATGCAGGTGAATGGTTGGAACAGCGTTAATATCTGGGTAAATATATTACATTCAACCTCAAGAAACCATTAAATATATTCACACATCCTGATGAGTTCAGTAGTTCACTTCAAATATATGGTTTATAAAGCAGAAAATCTGGGGCCACAACAAGTTGATGCTACTATCTTCAGTGTTGCGTTCAAGGTGCAGTAAAAAAAAAAATGGTATGTACAAGTATCCAACTGTGAATGACAATTATGACGACTTTCAACTGGCGAATGGCTTCAAAATGAATGTCAAACCCCAAAATGAATGATTTCATCACACAGATGGACCATTTGTGATGCCTAACCTGGAGAAAATGTGATGTGAAACAATTTTAACACAGCAGATAAAACAGTAGTAGTAGTCTTAAGTTCTTCATTGGTTTACATTTATATTTAAGTCTGACCTTATCCAAAACTCACATAACACAATATATTTTTCACATGACATAAATGAAATGTAGCTATAGTCTACGGAAAAATGTCAAACCTTTTTTTAATGAGCACAGGGATTGACATTTTGTCTAATTAGCTTACATGATGCTACCAAAAAGACTGAACTATGACAAGCTGTATATCGAATAGAAATAAAAAAATGCTGAATTTAAATAGATGTATTAGAATTTCGGAGGGCAAAATGGTTAAAAAAAAAGTATGTTGATTGTTAACTTGTTAGCACACAAGATCTATACCTTGTGTGCAAAAGTGATTATCTTTTATATATAACACAAGAAAACTTGTAAGTGGACCTTGAGTAAATAGTGCAAAAAGAAGGAAAAACCACATAACTTCAAACTTCCATAACAGGTCACTTGGGTTGGGGAGTGAAAATTTAGATTTAAATGCAAAACAAATATCTCGGTTTGGTAACATGTCATGCTAGTGATTTAGTTAAATGCTGCCAATTTCTTTGAAAGTCACTATTCCTACGTACATGAACGCAGCGCTACAATCTATTGTTCACTCCCTTTCCAAAAACCCCGCCCACGCCCTGAGCGGTGGCTGTGATTGGCTGAATCAGAGTGCGGTGCCGTCATCGCTCGGAGCGCCCATTCATCTCTTCACTTGGGCGTTGGACTCCGCATCTTATTAGCAACAAGGGAAATTTCTCCATTTTGCAGCCTGTCTACAGCGACACGGCCACCAATCTGGGATTTTATTACTCCTCCTTACCTGCCAGCTTTTCCCCGCTATTTTGAAAAATCCTCCTCGCTCTTGACTGGACTTTGCTTTACATTTTCCCTGTGAACTTTTTTCTCCTCTGTGCAGAGAGAGGGAGACAGCAGCGAAGAGCTTTTGAGTTTCAACAAAGAGGCTTGTGGGTCTTTGTTCGTTTTTTGGATCGGTTGAGTTTCTTTGTTGGGGGCGAAAAGCATGGGAGCGCAATTGTCCAAGACAGCTGGGAAGGCTGAAACCGCGGCCGAAAAGCCCGGAGAGGCTGCTGCTTCACCCACCAAGACCAACGGACAGGTAAATGATATTTTAACAGCCAGCTCTTGGCATCCATCGGGGGACAGTGTGGTCGTTGTGGAGGGCGGCTGCGCTCTGAGGGCGCAATCCGTGCGTAAATGTGGATAGATTGAATGGAGAGCCGCTGCGGGAGTTTAATCTAAATGGAGAGACTGGTTTTTAAATCTGAATAGATTGTAGCTCATAAGCAACAGTTGATCATTTTATATTCCCTTGGTTTTTTCAAGGAAAACGGGACACTTTATTGAGCGGATATTTGAAGAACACTTAACACAATAAGCTGTTATTTTTGAGCCAATTTAGAATTTGCATCTTTTGTTGATAATGGCACTCTGAATTGTAGGATTTGAATGTGTTGAGTGGTTGATTGGTAAATTTGCTCCAAAAAATACACTTCAGGACAAAGATGAAGTCCTTTGGCTTTGAATGAAATCGTCTCTTGGTCGCAGTTTTGGAAAGTGCTGAATAAGACGAGATGCACGACGCCAACAAAGGCTGTGTGCGCTCGGAGCAGCGCTCCTTTTGTTACAGATGCTCCACTAGAAAGTGGAGATGGCAGCCTGCTATCACAGAGGAGGGGACACAGAGGCTCGGAGCCAGTGGTGCGCCCCGGAGAGAGGGAGGGAGAGAGAGAGGCTTGTGCTGGTCTTAGCCGCTCCTTTATAGAGTTTTAGAGATAAATCATCATTCAGAACCGCGTTTCGATTTGAAACATTTTTAGTAAATGTATCCGAGCCGTGCCGGACTAATGAGCAGCTGCTGTTTTAATGAGCAGCTGCTTTGCTTTGGCGCTCCGCTGTTGGAGCGAGCAGCCACTGACCCCTTGCGGTCCGGCCGAGGCACTGCGCTCCCTCTCGCTCTGGATATGAGAGGCAGCAGAGAGTTGTTGCGTTTTTCACTCTAATGCCTGACTGTTAGTTTGTGTTTCATTATTTTCATGTTTAGCCTCTCAGAGCTGGAGAGTAGAAAGTGGGTCCAGGCTGAAGTGAGAGTCTGCTTTTGGCAGCGCTGATCTGATGGTGTCTGCTGCCCCTGGTGTCCCTCAGGGGCACTGTCCGGCTCCAGTCTTGAAACCACGCCAGCTCTTTACATGGCATTAACAGTCCCTGCTTCTCTTTTTAGGAAAACGGCCACGTTAAAGCCAACGGGGACGCCTCTCCTGCAGCCGCCGAGAACGGCAAAGAGGAGGTGCAGGCCAACGGCAGTGCCACGGCCGAGGAGACCCCCAAGGAGGAGGCTGAGAAAGCAGAAGCCGCCCCCGCTGAGAAGGAGGCTGCGGATGGGGACAAGGTAGAGGCATCCCCTGCTCCTGCTGAGGGAGAGGCGGCGGAGGCGAAGGCCGAGGACGGCGCCGCACCTTCCACCAGCAACGAAACCCCCAAGAAGAAGAAGAAGCGGTTCTCCTTCAAGAAGTCGTTCAAGCTCAGCGGCTTTTCTTTCAAGAAGACCAAGAAGGAGACAGGAGAGGGGGCAGAGAACGAGGAGGCGGCTGCAGCAGCATCCACGGAGGAGGCCAAGGCTGAGGACACAGAGGAAGCGGCGGCCGCCAGCGAGGAGGCCAAACCTGCTGGGGAGGAGGCCGCACCTGCTGCAGAGCCGGCCAAGGAGGAGGTAGAGGCCAAGCCGGAGGCAGCGGCGGCTGCAGCAGAGGCGGCACCAGCAGAGAAACCTGCTGAGGAGGCCAAGAAGGCCGCGGAGGCCGCGCCCGCAGAGGAGCCAAAGGCAGAGGAGCCCAAGGTGGAGGAGAAGCCGGCGGAGGAGGCGCCCAAAACAGAGGAGGCCGCCCCGGCCTCGCAGGAAGCGGCATCAGCGGAGGCTCCGGCTGCAGCCGCGGAGGCCGCTGAATAATTTGGGAGAAAGAGGAAGAAATTTGAAAAAAAAAGGAGAAAAAAGATAATCAAAGAACATTTCCCTGTTTGTATGTTGGAGTGATGCCAGGTAATGGCTTTGAAGAACTTGTCTACAACCAGGGATATTTTAAAGCTTTTTCTTTATTTTTTATTTTTGGTTTCCATTCCCCCCTTACACAAAACCCATCTCGGTCCATTGTTACTTCCATTCCAACGGGCTAGGGAGGTGGGTGGCTTCGACATGTACAACAGATTAATTCCACACTCTGCCGTATATTTTTTCATCAGTATTACGTTTTTTTTTTCTTTTGAATTTTTATACAAAAGTGTAAACAAAATGGTATGGACATGCCCATGGTATGAAGGAGACGGGGGTCGAGCTGTAAATGAAGGGGGGAGGTGAGTTCAGGGAGGGCAGGGGGGAGGGGCCTTGGAAATGTGCCACAGACTATTATGGAAAGAGTAGTCTAAAAAAACTAGGAGACCAACATCCATACACACCATACAGTTTACAACACTAAGTCCCTTTTTGAAATACGACCAACAAAAGAGTCCCAGAGTTAGGGTTTTTTAGGAAGACGTATAAACTCATAGGAGCTTTTCACTTCTCATTAGCTGTACCAGTCAGTGATTCAGTAGGAATACAAGTTGTATAGGCTTTATTGTTTATTGTTGGTTTTATGACCTTAATACAAATGTAAGTATGTATAGGCGGGGTGTTTTTAACTGTGATTATTGTACAAAATGAAAATCTTGATCTCAAGAAGCACATGAAGTTTGCAGCTCTTTTTTCCACCCGCTCATTTTTGTAAGATAACAACACACACGCAAAAAAAGAAGAGAAATGTCATCCCGGAAAGACCTTCTTAAGCAATTTTGAACTCGAAAACCAAGCTGTGATAAGTGGAATGGTTAACTGTTTATATACTGTGGTATGTTTTTTTGATTACAGCAGGCAAATGCTTTTCTCAGTGGTCTTTGACAAAAATTTAAGGAATCTATCAGATGCAAATGTTTGTGTAGCATCTTGTCTCTCTCTCTCTCTTTCTTTTCCTTTTGTAAATACTGGAGAAGCTTCGACCAGTTTGACTTTAGAGATGGAATGTAACTTTGCTTACAAAAAAATTGCTATTAAACTCCTCTGCTTAAGGTGTTCTAATTTTCTGTGAGCACACTAAAAGCAAAAATAAATGTGAATAAAATTTGAGCTGCATCTGTCGTTATTTGTGTCACATACTGTAGAGTGCCGTTCTGACTGACTGATGACATCCTATCTATGCAGTTCATTTGTAATGCTGTAGCTCTGTGCCTTCCAGACAAAATCCGGGGTACAAACTAGGGACATTTACCGATTATCAGCCTGGCAGGTAATCCGACTGTCGATTAAATAAAGTGTTCTGATACCTTTTTTTACTTCCTGATCAATTCCGATACCTGAACTTTGCAAATGGACCATTATTGAGTACTGATACAATGTTTTAATAAGTGCATTAAAGAAAACAGTGGTTGCCAACCTTTTTCCTTCAGGGAGCCCTTCTCTATCAATAAGTAAACTGACTGACATATATTAGATAAATATTTCATATTCAATGCATAACAATAACAGTAGAGAACAGCTGATAAACAGTACAATGAACACAAACTGAACACAATAACTGCAGGAGATTTGGATGAATTTTTAACAGATTCTTTACTGTGAATATTACATCAGAGATATTTTTAGGAACTTTAGGAACCAGAATTCTGTCTGGAGAGAGGTGTCAACATACTTTTGGTCGTATAGGGAAGACAAACCAGCTTAATTGTGCGCTTGTTTATGTAGAATAATGGCCTCATGGATGAGAGACGTGTGACAAAAGTGAGAAAATGCAATATTCTGTCACTGACTGGCTAAAGCTGGCTCCATTCCACACACCAACCTGAGCTACATTATATATTTAGGCTGCGGTGGGTCATTTTGCGAAAAAAATACTTTTTTACGAAAACAACCAATCAGAGCCAAGGAAGATGGTAAGACGTTTTGTGTTGGTGGCTTGAAGATAGTTAATTGTTGAGTGTCATTCCCAGCATTTATATTTAACGACTTTGGAATAAGACTCAACTATCTCTCTCTGCTCTGATTGGTTGTTTTTGTTCAGGCCCGGTGGATTCTTGTAAATGCCATTAGGAGCACCAGGAGGAACCAGAGGAACCTGATTGTTTCACACATTATCTACTTATTATTATATAATTATATACGTCTCATGAACCACTGTCAGGATATAGTGAAAGTTTCAGCAAATATGACAAAGATTTCTTTGTATAAAAGTTACTACTGCAGCTTTAATGTGACAAAAATTAACTTTAGGGAATTTTACCCAAGTTGGTTTAGAGGTAGGGTCACAGCAGCGAAGTGAACACAGCGATACCAAGCTGTGTGAGATTGATGCTGTGGTTTATAGTCTGGGGTTAAAAATGTACAAAACAAAGCACACTCACCAGAATAATGACTCATCCATTTCCAAACACAGTGCATCAGTGTTTCTACTGACACGTCTGCAGTCTGACCTCCGGCTCCACCGGTCCTCTTTAAGTACAAAATTTATAAGGCAATAGTGTAATGTGACTACGTTCTAACGCCTTCAATTTGATTTTTTTTCTGCTGACAAGTGCAACCATGACTCATGGCCGGTGATAGCAGGTTTCAGACTTTACTACAGGATTTAATTAAGACTGTTGAAAACTATGCAATGTAGCAGACATAACCTGGAACTGTCAAAAGCAAACAAGAGTTCTAGGAGCTGCAGTGATTCAGATTATAAATGCTGCATGCAAAGTAAGAAATCTCAATGTTTCCACTTTATATATACTGTCAATGGTTTCCACTCAAATTGGCATTTTAAAATCTATCCAAAACTGTAAGCGGTGATCCTGATCAGAAAGAGGAAGGTGGGGATTCATAGTCTGCACAGAAGATTTCAAATCTGCCCCACCAAAAGCAGACTGTAGCCAGGAGTTTGGGCTAAGATGTCTGAGCTCCTGCATTCATTCACCTTGCACCATTTTATGGTAGTTCTGCTCAGTGAAAACGTCTTACATTTACAAACATCATCCTACCTCAGCCATGGCTGGTGGCGACCGTCCTATGTAGCTTCCAGGTTGGCTTGGCATGGCATCATTCTCTGCATGTGGAAACATAACACGTTAGACGGCTGAAATGAAAGGTCGTTAGCTTTTTAACTGGTTAGCTAGCTTACCTCTCAATTAGTGCGTGTGGGTCTCACGGAGCGCTCCTTCTGAGCCTTTCATGTTTCCTACACAGGACAAGCTCCATTCAAAACTCACATCTTTTAAAGTTGATTTACTAGCAACAAAGGAAATATTCGCCATAGAGCCTAATGTAGGGACATTTGCAAATAAGTAGGACATAATCTTCATTACGGCATACGTTAAACGCACGAAGAAGACGTAACTTGGGAGCCAATTTCAACTTTGCTCATCCGAGTGAGGGGTTCTTCGGCGACGGAGGACGGCGGGAGCGAGGAGCAAATAGAATTTTATTACATTTTAAATCATTGACGTTGGGCTTATTGTACGCCGAATGCACTAGAAGAACGTATTCATGTTAAAAGATCTTTTAGTGAGTTTTACAATATATTAACGCCAGTAAAAAACATGGACTAGCACCAAAATTGCTTCCTAACAAACACTCCACCTGTCCCAAGCTGGAGATGCTATGTGTTATGTTAGGACGCCCCCATGTGGATGTACAGCGTCATTACACAGACCACAAAACAGCAAGCCACATAGAAATACAGGGTATAAAAGGTTTTATTGACAAATGCAAAATATTAAAATTTAAGCATGAAGTCATTATAGGTTCATCTACAGGTATAACCACAATTTTCCTAAAAACAAGAAAGTCCAGGTTTCCTTCAGAAGATCAAGCACATTGGAATCAAACGGTTTAAAGGGTATCAAAGGACGTAGCATGGCAAATTCAAGTGGTGGATTCAAGAAAATCCACTGCGACACTACACAAAGAGAGACAATTCACAAGTAGAAAATGGAAAGTCATAATAAATATAATGCTTCTGGCTGGGATTCAGTGAAGAGTTGGATCCTTGAGGGAGGACAGCACCATTGAGTCAAGTGTGTGTGTGTGTGTGTGTGTGTGTGTAATAAGAAGAACATTTCAGGCACTGCTGGTCTGCTCAGTCTTCACACTGCCAAACAAAAATGAGAGTTGGAGAGTCAGTTGGAGATCATCTTCATGAAGTGACCATTATAGTTTTAATCCACAACTAAAGAACCACTCAACTAAAGTGATTGGAATTATACACACATCACTTCTGTGCTCACAGCAGAAGTCTGTTTAGGGTTCACACTTTATTACACCCAATCAAGAGTCTGTACTATATTCTACATCCAAATCAATACCAACACAGAGCTTATTCAAGCGACTGACAGGAAGTCATTCTGCACTCAGTGTGGTGTGGTGGTTACACAAAGCTCAGGAAGTAATGAGCAGTGATTGACACATTGAAAAGTGGACTTCATCTGTAAGTAACCACATGAGTCCTGTACTGGAATATGATGGGCTGCATTCACACAGTGCCTTTCCATTAGCAATGTACTGTAAAGCCTACTGCAGCTTCCCCCTACAAACTCCATACTGTTGCATGCAGTATGCATACAACTGGCACATACTACTTCATCATAACACTGGGCCTTACATCTGTCGCACTCCATAGAGTAAACTAAAGTATGCAATAGCCTATTCGCAGGTAACGTTACATCACTGCATTTCTGTGGCACCAACAGCAGATGGAGGGTAAGAAGTGATTTTTTTTTTACATTGGAAGGACTATCACAAACTGCCTGTCTTGTGTCATTTACAGTTGCTAAAAACAATCAAACTGAGAAACCACAAGAAGCTTTTATCAAGTACCAAAAGTTGTTGTTAATAAGGGGGGAAATGCAAGAAAACGGTTTGAGTACTGCAAACTGCAAAAACATAACTTTCCGACGGGGAACTGAAGTTATATGGCTCGGTTCAAAGCCACCAGACTCCTTTGATAAAAACAGTAATTTTACCTCACAGAAAACCAGAGTTTCTGGTCTGCCACTGCCTCCATCTGCAGCAACAAACGTTAGTTCAGATTCTGATTAACACGTTAAAACACCAAGTCACTGGGTGTCCAGTTAGCTCAGTCGGTAGAGCTGGTGACCCATATACAGAGTTGCTGCAGCGGCCTGGGTTC